ATGCTGCTTCAATTGTAATGGCTTCACATTTAAGTGGTAATGGAACACATCCAGTACCAGTATTGCTCAAAGTACAACCTACATCATAAGTTTAACAATCTGCATGGGTTGCTGTGGTTGATGAAGCTAACACACATTCCTTTTTATAGCATTTTCCTTTCCAAATGCAAGCTTTATTATTCAAATCTTTGTCACAAATAGTTTATACCAATGAATTATCGCATGTTTTATCAACACAACCTGCATTAGTTGAATTTACTGTACAAGTTGATAAAAAGGCAACACATAAATCATGAGTTGTATTAGTTGATGGAGCATTGACACAAGTTTTATCCTTACAAGTTGAACTTGCACTATCCCAGAAACAAGTAGCTCCTGATACATTCTTTATACAAGCAGCTTCTAAGGTAATTACTGCACATGTAGTATTTGTTACGCATCCACCTCCAGTCTTTGTAATACAATTAGTATTAGGTAAATATGCTTCACAGGCATCGTTTGTTGTTATTGTTGTTGGAGCATTAGCACAACTTCTATTTTAACATCCACCTCCTGTTTTAACGGTACATGATGATAAGTAAGATGTACATAAATCGTGAGTATTATTTGTTGTTGGTGCATTTGCACAAGTCTTTTCTTTGCATGTTGTATCCCAAATGCAATCAGTACCGGAAGTATTTTTCACACAAGCGGCTTAAATGTTGGCAGCTGAACAAGCACCATTGGAAACACATCCTCCTCCTGATTTAGTGATACATCCTGTCACAAATCCAGCACAAGCTGAATTTGTAGTCATTGTGGTTGGTGCATTTGTACATGTCTTATCAACACATGCAGTTCCTGTCCAATAGCAATCTCCACCTGAATTATTCTTAATACAAGCAGCTTAGATAGTAGCAGCTGCACAAGTAGTTCTAGTAACACATCCTCCATTGGCTTTTGTTGTGCATGTTCCGTCAGCTCTAAAACTCTTACATGTCTCATCAGTTGTTAATGTAGTTGGTGCGTTATCACAAATTCTGTCTTTACAAGCTGCTCCATCCCAAAAACATGCAACTGATTTTAATTTATTCCAAACGCATTGAATTTCTAAAGTTTAATCACTACAATTATTTCCACTATCAACACATCCACCTCCAGTCTTTGTTGTACAAGTTGATATGACATCTCTGCATTCTTTGTCTGTAGCAAAACTTGCTGGTAATTTATCACAGGTATTAGCATCTACACAAGAGTTATTTGTTGTATCCCAATAGCACAAGCTTCCAGCAGCATTTTTCTTACAAGGTGCTTGTTTTTTGTATGTGCTACAAGCATCAATTTCGACACAGTGAGTTCCATCTGTAATACATCTATTACTTATTGCTTAACATTCATCATCTTATGTTTTTGAAAAAGCTGTGCATCCTGTGAAGTATGTGCATTTGCCTTGAACCCAGGCACAAGCAGCATAGTTACCGCAATCTGTACAGGGTTTAGCTTTTGGACAATCTGCTTCAGCAAATGTATCACAATATGCTGCATAGGTTACTGTTGGAGTGACTGGAGTAGTAGAAACTGCACAAGCTTTCTTTGTGCTATCCCATGAGCAACCAAGTTAGGCATTTTTTAAACAATCTCCTTCTGATAACAATTATGCACATGTGCATGATGTTATGCTATAGGTTTGACATGTTGCTAAAGCAAGCAACAAAGCAAATATTATGAATTATTTATTCATTAAAAGTATTATCATTCTAATATTCTCAAATTCCAGTTAAATTTTTTTAAAAAAGTTAATTTTTTTCTGATTTTTTAAAACAACACTTTTAATGATTTAATTTAAATCAGAATTAGATTTTAGAGCTAATTAACATCATTAATATTATTATATAAGTTTTCAATAAAACTAAAGAGATCTGAAGGGAGAAAAAGAATGCCATTCTGATCCTGCAAAATAGTTAAAGTACTTATTTATGACATTCTCATTGTATTATGTATATTATTATCATTTCTTCTGATTCTTTTCTTATTCGATAAAAAGACATTAAAACAGGAAAAAAGTAGTCAATCAAGGCACTGTTCTGAACGTAAATAAAGTATAAAAACACCCTTATTAGATAAGTATATATTTACGATGGAAATTGACTCGGAAAGAACTTACGAAATAGTTTTGAAATTACCAAAATTTGTTGATATTAGTCTTTCTTATAGAAACTTACTTTACCTATGGATTTTAAATTAAAGCAACAAAACAAAAAGAAGTATTCTAAGCACAAATCTAGCAGAGGAAATGAAAGAAAAATTAATAAGAATGAATTTATCAAAAAGGTTGCCAACTTCATCAATCAGGTCTTTATTAAAAAATTAAAATTTTATTAGCTAAGCAAGTATACGTCCTGCTTGCTATCCTTTTTCTCCATAATGAATTAGTAAGAATTTGAAAATTCACTAATCAATTTTTTAAATCTGGAAATTCTTAATTACGTAATACATTAAATAATATCAATTATTTTATAATTGCTCCACACTTAGCATCTTTATTTCTCTCAATAGATATTGGCAATCGGCAATTTATTTCAGGATCATCACAAGATTGTAATTAGAATAAGTAAATATTATAAAATGTGAAAAGGAACATTAGAAGTATATTGAAATATATATAGTAATTTTATTTTCAATATTTAATTAAGAATGTTATAATTAATGATTAAATATTCTAAAAAGGAAGCCAACTCTAGGTTTATTCCTTGATTTAGATTCTTCCAACTTTGAGAATCAATAGAAAATCTCCCTTTCAGATATAATTTTTCTTTTTCCAAACTTTTATAAATTTCCAGTCTAATTAATTTATGGATTATCTTAATTCTCTTGTTAAGAGTATTAGAATTCTCTTGTTAATGTATTAGAATCTCATGTTAAAGTATGGAAAAAATATTATTGAACTCTGGGAAATTTTTTAATATCGTTTTTTAAACTGATTTTTTTCTAATCAATTTCTATTTGAGTGAGTGAGATTTAGTAATTGATTTAAAATTCATTTCACTATGACGGTCCCATTTTTATTGTTAAAATTTTCAAGAATACTTGAGGTGTTATGGTCATTTGAATATGTCGACGTGTTGTAAAAGACACAAGTTAGATTATTAATTTAGTATACATGCTAACTATTTTTAAACATGACCACCTTTAGATTTACTTATGATTCTCAAAAAATAGCAATAAATTAAAGTAAAGTTTTTCATAGTACTTTTCTATTTTTTATTAAAAAATAGTAATATAAACTCAATGTAAATATATTAATCTTTGTGCCTTAAATTATTTTAGCATAGAATAGATCTGAAATTAAACTGGTATTAAAGCTTTTGAACCAATTTTTACTTCTCAGGACCAACTTTGAAAAACAAGTTTAAAGAAAAGGTATCTAAAGTCAGTTTATTAATTCATTATCTCCTTAGAATGCAAAATTAATAGTCTTGAATAAATACATTTTAAATTAAAAATATAGATTATAATTGATTAAAAAAAGCTGGTCAGTGCTTAATTCATTCATTTTTATAAGCTTTACAAATTAGAAGTTTCTGATTTAGAGAGATTTTTTTAATTAATTATTATTATCGATTTAATTTGAATAAATTCGGAACTTATTTTGCATTTTTTTTATTCATTTATGAATTTTTTCAAGGTACTTCTCTTCTAAGAGTTATCAAAAATTAATAAAATTAAGAGTGTTATCCAATAGAAACAATGGATTTCAAGGAAAGCAAAACCATTTTTCTAAAGGTTAAAGAAATAATAGAATCGCTAAGTCTAAGTTAATCAGGAATAGGTCCTAAGTATATCGACTAGAGAGTGATGTTATTATCTTAAGTGAAAATATTATTAGTTGCCTGAAAAATTTCATAAAATGTATAAATAAACATTAGTGAGAGTAATTGAATTAAATTTTGAAAACAGGAATAAGTCTAATAATTTCAAATATCTACCAGGTTAACAATTACTTGCAAGTATCAATTGATTGATGTCATTCATGAATCTCACTTCAGAATGAAAAAAAAAAAAATTGCTCTTTTTATAATGAGGGTAAATTTAGCACTTTCATTAAAAAAGAACAAGTTAATAAAATTGCTAAATGAACATTGGAGATAAGTGAGGATTTTTGTGAGATTATTATTATTAATATTAACAAATACATTATCAAATATCAAAATCAATCTCTATATTATTTATTAGCTCCTCTATTCTACTTTTGATTTGAACAGGATCTTTATAAAACACTATGGAATAGTTTATATTTTAGTTATTTAAAATTTTCTTTTTCGATAACATTTGGAAGTGTAAGTAACGATTAACGAATTAAAAGCATTAGAATAATCGATAAATATAAAATTCATTTTAAATGCTTAATAATAGAAGGAAAGGTTCTCAAAATTAAAAATTAAGTTTTGAGGTTATGGAATTTTTGATTTTTTGGATGACTTTGAAGTTTTTGATTTGAATTTAATATAATTGTGGAAGCAAATTTAGAATGGCTTAAATTAGACAGTGATTGGATAATTCATTAAATTCATAGTTAATGCAACCTAGAAGATATTATATTATCTGTTCTACTCGATATAGTGAACTAGCCTTATTTTTCTGAATAGTTTTGAATTTTAAAGGAAGCAAAGGAGTCATAAGTTCAAAAGGATTGGAAGGAAAATTAAAATCTCCACATATTAGTATGATAGAGTTTCCTTTCATATTCATAGAAAAGTTTGTTAACAGCCTTTTGAAATTGTTGTTTGTTTGATAATTCAAGTAATTTTTGTGAAATTTCGATAATTGAATTAAACTATAGTTTGGCTAGAAAAAAGAACTTACAGAAACCACAAAAGTGATGAAGTTGAATAAACTATTATAAAAAAAATTACACAAGAAATTTTTGATGATTAAGAAGACTTTTGAGAATTAAAATAAACCAGAAAGAGTTATTTGGATAATAATAAATATTTATTTGTCATTTTTATAATAATATTAATATGAAGTATGATGAGTAACAGTGCTTCTTGAGTTTTTCAAGTTATTGTCGAAAATAGAGACATATAAATTTTTCCTCGCAAGATCTAGTTATGAAGAATTGTTAGAGTAATTTTGAAAAGTAATGATCATTTATTTTTTAGATTATAGAAGTGTTTCGAGCTTGACTTAGTTCAATTTCTATTTTTGAATATGCTCTCCATTTTAAAGAGGTGAGTAAGACAAGAATGTTAATAACTACAAACCCCTGAAAAATGTAAGAAAGTTAAACAAAATTTTAAAATATAAAATGATATTTAAGTTCTATGCATAATTTCATCAAATAAATTAGATCTTGCGATTTCGTAAATTCTAATCACATTTATTTTTAGCTTATATATTAATGAGAAATTTTCTAGAAATCCTTAAAAATAGATAATTAATATTGAATTTATTAGTATATGTCGAGAAAAAAATGCAATAATGATGAACATTATTGAAATAATTGGACATGAATTTGAAATGATTGTAAATAAATCAAAATCTGGATTTTTCTAACTAACTTCAAAAGTTAATTCTACATAGTTAAAACTCTTTTCAACTCAGTCTTGATACCCACTTCTAGCCTAATCTAATTTCCTATTAAACTAATTCATTCCCATTTTAAGTTTTAGAAGATTCAAATTTTGTTGTTAGTTATGTATTAATTGGTCTGCAAAAATATTCTTCTCTCTGGGTAAATGGTTTTACACCTTTAAGTTCTTCCCTCACGAATCTAAAATTGATGCATATATGTATTTAGAGCTTACAATTTGCAATAATTTTCTCCAAAATGGACAATCATTTATAAATTTCTTAGTATTCTCTTATCATTTAGATATTATCAGAATTTTAAGAGGAAATCACGAATAAAGTCAAATAAAATAAGTGCTTTAGTTGTATAATGAATGCTTAAGAAAGTATGTCAATACTAATGTGGGTAAGTACCTAACCAAATTCTTTGATTAAATGCCCTTAACTGTAGTTACTTAAATTTCCAGTATTTAGCAAACAATTATATCTCATCTTCAATAACACTTTGAAGGACCGATGCCAAATTATTTTGGAGTGATTTTGATGATGTATAAGATGTGGATATCACCTAAAGGAACTCAATTTACTTATGGTAATAACATCTCTAAGTTAATCAACCAAAAAAGCAAATTAAAGATGATTTTAAGAGCACATCAATAAGTCAATGATGAATGATCAATATTTATTAATCACTAGGTCATCCTTAGATAATTATAGAAATGGTATCTATATACGCTCTGCTCCTAATTACTGTTGCTTATGTTATAATCAAGCTGGGTTTATGGAAGTTGATTAGAAACTAAAAAACTTTGATCTTATTATCCTAACTATACTTATTTTTAAATAATATATTATGAGTGTGACATTCTTGATTATAAGAAAAATATTAAATTTGATGAATTACCTTCTGGAACATGTAAATTACAAAAATTGCAGATTATTCTTATGATTATTAATATATAATAAACATAAGAATCAGTCTCATGAACCTTGACGATATTAATAATTGGTATATATAAACATTAAATCGCAGGATCCTTGGTCATAGTCAAAATTACCCAGGGAACACCAAGAACTATTGCATCGTATAAGCCACTTGTGGCAAAAGCTCAATTTTTTATAGTCATTAAGCAAATTCAGAAAATATTAAAGAGAAAATTCTTAATGGAAATGTAATACTACAAATTGATTTCCAAAGAGTGTCAATATGAAAGAGTTGGGGGCATCTACAATGGAGGTTAATTCAGATTATGTTAAGCCACTTCAACATTCAGGATTTAATATGGCTTAAGATTTGCCAATTCAAAGAGCAGAGAGAAAGCATGCTCATCAGATAAGGTAGTTCATTGTTATTATAGATCAAGCCATGTTTTGTTCCTGAAAATTCTTTTAAATATTTTTTGGCTCGTTATCCTGGAAAGGAAGAAATAACAAAGCCTTTGAGTGAACCTACAATACATCAAAAAAGGATTTGGAATGGACTTCTGCAATGCTGGACCGATTGCTGCATCTTGGTAAGAATGATACTAACGATTTCAGTTATTTAGGTAAGGTTGTAGTTTAATCTATACGCAACTCATTGATAAAGGCCATTTATGATCTAACTACATTAGGAACTAATTTAAATATAGATTTTGGACTAATTAAGATCAGTGTTATAAATAGAGGACTTAAATATAAATATGAATAATAGTCTTTTATAAATCGATTGAACTAGACTGAATATGAACTCAAAGTATTCAAATATTAATTATTAAGATGCGGTAATCTGATTTATAGATTAATTTATAAATTAGATAATTAAAACTATGAGACATCTATTGCTACATCTTAGCATTGGACAATGACATAATAAGAAAATGGTCAAAGAGCACGTATTAACAATTAATGAGTATTTAGCTTGAACAACTTATTAACAAGTCCAAATCCAGGTAAAGTTCAAGATAATTATGATGGCATTAAAAATAATGTCACTTGATCTTAATACAGCTGATAAAAACAAATTATAGTAAAAAGCAGAAAGTTCAATTACCCACATTAAATAAATGAGTTTTTTTAAAAGTAATATCAATTTTTAATTTTAAAGAAATTACATTTCTTATAGGAATACTATTAAGTTATTCAAGATTATAATTATCTATATATATTATCTCAAAATTGTACAAAACCTTGTTCTTTAAGATATTTTGATGCTTTATTCTTATTGAATTTACCTAGAATGGAGAATGTTAAGACATCATTCACTTGGATAGTTTTCTATTGTTTATTTATTACTATACCTTTCCATCTTTAACACTGATTTTATTTTACTTATTAATTTTTAATTGTTATCCTTCTTCTTCAATTTGTTTGCTCAATTCATCTACATTGAAATTACTTTCACCAAAGGCACCATAAATGAAAGTATCTGCAACAAACAATAGACCCTTCTTAGAATCTTTGAGTTATTGGATATACTTTCCAATTTCACTGAAATAAGCAGTAGGGTTTGGTTCAGTTGACTGTATAACTGTTTTTTGGTTTGGACCATCAATGACATATTTCAATTATGACTTGATCAATTCAGCTTTGAGTTACTAGCATTATTAAATGATATCATACATTATAAGCAGATTCATAGTGCTTCTTCTCCTGAAAAATCTTGCTGCCTTCTTCAACCAATTAATTCTTAGAAATTGACCACAACTTAACCAATGAATTAATCATCTCTCCCTCTGAATTTAATACTTCAATGGTCTTCACACCAGCAACATAATAGAGTCTTACAACACCATCTTATAATTTTTAAGTTTTAAGAATTCTCACCCATCCTACTTCTGATGTGCTGTCACAATGGGTACCACAACAAGCTTCGACATCTATCCCATCGATATTTACAACTCTTAATTCATTTCCTGGTACAATACCACCTTGATATAATCTGAATCCATATTCTTTTTCAGCATCAGCTTTATTCATAAATCCTTTATTGATTTGTTTAGCAGATAAGATGATTTTATTGACTTCATTCTCAATGGCTTATTCTTATTCCTTTGACAAAGGTGCAAAGTGAGTAATATCGAGATGTGCATTGTGAACACTCTTATGAGCACCATTTTACCAAACATGAGGACCAAGGACTCTTCTGCATGCTGCAAATACAATATGAGTGGCTGTGTGATGATTTCTCAAAATTGTTCTTCTTTCTAAATCGATTTCAGCTAACACTTCTTAACCAACATATGTATCAATTGCATTTTGTAATGGCTTTTCTAAGATATGTAATACAACTTTGCCGACTTTTTATACGTTGTTAACATAATATCTCTCACCTTAAATAGTTAACCAACCTTAATCGAAATCTTAACCACCACCAAATGGATAAAATGCAGATTGATTCAAAATCACAATGTTAGGAAGATTCTATTGTTAAACATTACTGAATATAGTAACAATTTTAGCTTAGAATTTGCCATCTTTTGGTGTTTGATAATATAAATTAGTAGTTTCAGGTAAATGAACTGTGTTATAAAGAATTGCTTCAGGTGCTTTAGTAATTCTGGCTGCTCTATCTGCCAATTCAGCATACAAATTACCAGGGATTGGCAATTTACTAATTTGACTAATAGTATCAGCTGGTATTCCATGAGTGCTCATAGCAAAGATCCAATCATCAATACTTAATTGATTATTCTTTTATTTCAATAATTTTTCTAATTTAACTTTCTTATCATCATCTGTTTTAGCCCATCTTTCATATTCTTATTTGATAATTTAATCGAAACTCTTATATTCTCCAAAAGGACCATAAAGTTTAGCCAAATCATTTTTGTGTTCTTAAAATAATTATAATAATCCATCCATTCCCAGTTTATCCCACCAATTATTCTTCTTCAAAACTGCAAATACTCTTCTGATGATATTTCTAATATTGGAACCACCACCAACGTTTGAGGGTAATGATCCATCAGTAACGACCATCATAACAGTACGAGTATGATCCAATATGATATACATATCCTTCAATTGTTCAATTTCCTTCTTAATAGTTTAGACATCATATCCAATCTATGATGAAATGAATTCCCAAGTCTTATCAACATTTTCAACTTCATCAACATTCAATAAACAACTGTATGGTCCAAATGCTTTCCAAACATCATTTGAATATTCGACTTATAACTTTTATGCCAAGAATGCAAATGCCCCAGCAAAGACGTCAAAATAACTAGTTGGTGAACCATTGACTAACCAAGGTATACGTTCCAATCCAATTCCTGTATCTATGATTTTAATTGGTAATTCTTCATATGATCCATCATGGAAATATTTGTATTGCATAAACACCATGTTTCCTACTTCCAATCCATTGACGAAGTATTCTACTGATGGACCCAAGTTTCCACCTCCTGCCCAAACATCTTCAATGAATGTAATATCATCGGGATTGATTTCTAACTCTTCAGTCAACCATCTATAGTTGAATTCTACACATTCCTCCTTAAAGAACACATATTTGTCAGGGTAATTGAATGTCTATATACCAAGCATTATGAATCCTGAATAATGTCTGCCTGTTAAACCGATATTGTCGAGATCATTGAATCTCACACAAAATTAAGGACAAATCAATGGATTTGCTGGTGGATCCATCTCACCTGTTACACAAAATGGTTAGAAACAATAGATTCCTGCTGCTACATAATCAACATCATTTCTCCATCTTGCCACTACTGGATACCTATCAATTGCTGTGCATGGTACTCTTGCACTTGTTAAAGATTTCTTGAATCCATTCCAAGCATCAGCATATGTTATTTTATTTCCTTTGGCTCCTTTACCTGTGCCTACACCAATAAAAGAGTATTTCCCTTCACAACTAAAAGTATTGATTTCTTCGCTTACTTTGAATCTCCACATGTTGTCTTCTTTTCTGTGTGTCTCCAAAAATATGCTCCACATTTTGGACATTTGCATCTACTAAACCCAAATTTATCAAAAACTTTGGTCGGGTAAAACAACTCTGGGTTTGCTTCAAATTAAGGTCGTACGATCTTTTTAATTTCCTATTTTTAGTTTATGTATTCACTCTACTTTTGGGGTGATAGCCTTTATAGTTTTGACTTCTTCAATCGTCTCTTCGAATTCCTTTTATTGCATCACTTTCGATATTTAATATAAATGATTTGTTTACAAGAAACGTGCTTTAAATAGTCTAATAATTATCATTTAATGTCATTCAATCATAGGTCTGGATATATCATTATATTTTTGTCTATTCTTGGATTTTGTTTACATATCACAATAGTCATTAGTCAATGGGTGTTAAAATAACAAAATATCTTCATTGAAACGATCAAGGTGCAAAGCTTATATGGATTTAGTAATACTTTGCTGCTTGAAATAATTTGTTCTGATTTTAATATATATATCTTCTTGTATAATGAAAGATGAGAAAGAAATGAATCAATAATCAAAGTTCAAATCATATAAGTTATTTCTAAATCCCATATCTTTGTTACTTTCTCAGCTTTTCAAAGTTGATTAATATATATTTTTAATATGATAGTTTAATCTTATTTCTGGAGATATTATTGATAACTTAGGATTTTTGTGTCACATTTTTGCCATTTTTAAGAATTTTATCTTTTTGTATGAGTCTTTCCCAAACCTCTTTATTTCCTTTAATAAAATGGAAATATAACATTTGGAAGAGTTTTACACTATAAAGAAACATTTCTCCACAAAAATTATTCATCTTACTTATCATAATGGATAAGTAATAGAATTATTAGAAAATTTAACTATGTCTTAAACTTAATTAACATCAATTTTCGTATTTGCATTAGGAAGTGTCCAAATGTCTTCCAACTAGGGATTTTCCAATTTTTTATATTATAGTAAGGAAAAAGGTAATATAGATATAATCCAAATTGGCATTTAAAAGTTCCAAATTTTTTCAATATAATTATTTATAAATATAAAGACTGAATATTTTAAATTATAATCAATTTAATTCAACTTTTTCTTTTAAGATTAATAGAGGCCTAAAATAATTTCTCCCACTATCTTAGTTTATTTTAAATTAGTGAATCATTGCTACATTACAAATAATATCAAATTTATCTAAATAAATCAAAATATCATCAGTTGGATCTGCCGTAGATTATTAATAATTTGGAAAACTCACCATAGTCTTATATATCAGGTCGCTTGATAAACTTTTAATTTAAAGAATGAAAAAAAATTATTACTATAATTTCATAAAGTCATAAACTCTATGGATTATCCTATTTTTTTTATTTTAATATGATTAAAAATTCATTAGTTGACAATCAAATCATATGTTAAGTAGTCATTATCATGACAAAAGTTGATTATAATGTTTTAATAGAAACAATTCAATAGAATTCTATAATTTTTGATTAAAATAGAAACTAAGGCTTACATTAGTTAATCTCACAAAAAAAAGATTTAAATTTATATTATTTTTTGTAATTTTCTAATAAAGTAGCAAGCGCTTGATTATATTTTAAGATGAAAACAATAACTATCTTTGATCCATCAATCAAAAATAGGTAATCTAAAGAAAAAATAAAGTAAGGAAATCATTCATAAAAAATACTACATAAATTCAAAATTCAAAGGCTTTAGTTGAATTTTGAGGAAAATTATTCTTTTTTACTATCTAATCATAAATATATTGTTATTAAAATACTTAAAGGAAGTTTAGGTGAACTGCTATTAGAGTAAATTTAAAAATGAAAAATTTAATAAACAAGACTAATAAATAGAGTATAGAAATCATTCTATGTTGTCTAAATTAAATAATATATAAATTTTAATATTATAAAGCTATTAATTAAAATATGTAGGAAGCAAAATACCCAAATTTTGAGAATATCTAATACTCCAATCCATCATCATAGGGTGAAGGACTATAATAATAATTTATGGATAAGCCAAACTAAAACATTAAATTTGTTCCAGTATTAGCATCTTCATAATAAAATTACCAAGAATCAACCTAATATTAATAATATGCATAATATTAATAAAATCAAGTGATTCCCTATGCTGAATACTTCAATCATAGTTTGGTGCCAATCCCTGTTCAACATTCTAATTTGCTTAAAGACTAAGAATTTTAAACATAGAAATTATTCTTATGTGGAATTTTAGGAATATACATTTTATGGTCTATCCTATTTGTGCTGTTACTATTTCCATTATCAATAGTATTCTTTTGGGATACTCACAGTGGAAATGGAAGCCCAATTCCTTTCTTTTTTTTAATTATATTCTTATTTCTCACCATTTTTCTAGGAAAACTTGGAACTAAAAATAATAATCGAAAAGTATTTGCTGATTCTATTTTAGTTATCAAACAGTATTTTCATACTGCTTATGCTATTGTTTAGCTACACATTCTTTTATTTATCCTTGCTTGGGAGTTTGGGGTCATAATCAAAATCATAATTTGGATGTAATTTATAGGTTGCTATTTTTAGGGGATTTTGTCATAGCAATATTTTTGATCTTCTTTGTTATTGGAAATTTTATTTTTAATTTCATCACACTGGCTTGTTTAATATTCTCTGATAACAAATTTAACACTGCCTGTAAGATATCTTAACATTTCATTAGACCCTGTTCTTATTGAGATCGTTGTAATTGTTATTGTCGCTATTATCCTTCATCCAATCTATTTATTTTGCATTCTTTTTATGGTACCATATGCTATTTGTTTGATGAATGCTTTCAAACAAATCTTAAATGGAAGAGTATTAAGTTCATTTAAGTTAATAGTTTGAGTTGGAAAAAAATCAAGTAATTGTTGGTGCCATGGCTTCGTTTTATTGTTCTATCATTTGTTGTACTGATTGAAATTTTTATATTTATTATTTTAACAGGTTTGTATAAATTATTCTGTTATATTTGTGCTAATATGATAGTAGTGTAAAAAAAATATTTATATCTTTTCATTCATTATCAATTTCAAAGTCATTTTGAGGAGCATCCTCCTTTATAACTTCACTATATTCACTCGTTAATTCGGCCAATGCTTCTCTTCCCTCGCTAAATTCACATTCTTCGAGGCCCTCACGAACGTAGCACCATACAAAAGCCCTTTTTACATACATTTTATCGAAATCCTATCCTAAAGTTTTAAATCTATTAATAATTGAAGCATCGTTCGAGAAAAACACTCCCGTTTGTTTCATTTATGCAAACTCGGATAATACTTGATAATTAGAGGAATTGCATTGAAAAATTCTAGGACTTTGATGATATACATGGGTTAAATTTTAAAGAGTTTAATTGAATTTTCCATAAAAATGGTTCGGTTCTTTTTATCTAAACAAAAGTGTTGTAGAAAGATGTTGAGGGTTGTTAGGAGATTAGTAAAGCTTATTCTCTTTTTTGGTGAGATATTTAATAAATTCATTTTGACTTTATTCTTATCTAGTGTAATCATTAATCAAAGTCATTTTACCATATGAGGGAACAAAATAATGCAAATTAGGATATGGGCACAAGCTTGAAAAGAATTTTGAATTGTCAATATTGTTAAATCTTTTTAAACCAGTGTATGAACTGATTGTTTATGCAACCAAGTTGTTTAGATGGGAGTAATCCACATAATCTAAATCTAATTACTAATCAATTACATTGTACATTGATTAATTATCAAACATTGTAATACTATGAAAATAATTTCTCGTCATATAAATGGAAAACATTGCATTATAGATTCCAAGTATATTATTTGACATCCCCAATGATGGAAATATGATAAAACCATTTTTTTTTAACTTATTTCCATAATCCATCCCTAATCTGTCTAACAATAATGAGGAAAATCCAGATCCTGTTCCTCCCATTATAGAAGTAGTAATCACAAACTAATCTAATCGATCCATCGTTTCTACTTACTTTCTAATTTAATCTAATCCTTCATAAATAATATCTTTGCCAGTTGTATAACAACCTCTAGAAAATACATTTGATGCATCTTCCTTCCCATACAGAAAGGAATTTTTTTTAAATTGTATTTATTTATTCCTTTAAACCTCCTAAATCATTCTGTCATCTAAATCTGCAAATAGTGTTAATGGATGAGAATGTCCATCAACTTATTAATAAACATAAGACTTCAATGTTGTTTCATTATGCTCTTTTTCATAAAGCCTCCATAACATGTCCCCCATCATGATTCCAGCTCCTCCAATATGAATGTGAAATGCGGATGACATTGCAAGAATAATTTTAATAAAATTTATGCAAACTTAAATATAAAATTCTAAATGTTTAATGTTATTCTGAAACAGATTATAAATTTATTTAAAATCTTTAATAAATGAAATCAATAAATATATATTTAAAAAAATCAAAATGAAAAATTGAGATTCTTACACAAACTTAATATAGATATGTTTAAGCTAGAAAATGTGAATAATAAAAATATGTAAAATCAATATTTATCTACTCTTTCAATGTACTTATTAACTATCAATAATGCTAAGATTTTATTACTGTGTGAAATATATTATAGATCTGAGTGATGAAATATTTAGAATATTAACTAAAGGACTTATAGCTTTTTTAACGAATTCAAACGCTACTGAGTGATTATTTAAGGTTAAGCAATGAATTGGCTTAAAAAATATTGCAGATTTGACAAATTATATTTATTAAAGTACTTTCATGCAAGCTGATTAGAGATATAAAGATTCTGATACTTATAGTTAGGATTTGACCTGGTCCATACTTGTCCACTTCAGTTGTTTAAATGTAGCAAAATATGATCAGAACATTTATGGCACCATATTTTATATTGTTCTACTATTATTGAACATGAATGCATCCTATCAACAGAAAACTCTCTAACTTTATTTTAACCATATAAAAGTTTCCTCATCGATTTTAAAGCTTCAATATAAGTTATTGCACTCAGCTATTTTAAGATGTTTATATTTAAGCTAAATAGTATTAATATAGTAAAGTTTAAGTTTTAAACCAAATATTTTTCTTTAACTCCTTAATTCTCAGATTAAAAATATGTATGCGGAGATTACAATTATTAAGATGCATGTGTGATACCTTATGACCTTGTATAATACTCAGAAAAGTTTGTTCAAATAAATCTATACCATCATTAACATTGAGATCCTGCAAAAATTGGCTTATTAATTGTTAATTCTAATTGAAATCATTTAGAATATGATTTTAAATATGAATTGGAAGCATATGAAATTGCTCAGCTGTGATTTTTATGTAATAAACTAAAAGGTTACTTTGTTGAATTCGATCTAATTCTATGTGTTAAAAAGTGTTTGTTCTTAGAAAGCAAAATCTAACTTTATAAGGATAAATTTGAAAAAAACACAACCTTATTAGTATAGTTAAATCAATGTGTTAATTTATTTGTTCCAAATTTATAACTACTTATGAAAAATTACAATATATGGATGGATATATTTAAATGAATACAGTCATTATTTACTCCATATGGACCTATGTGTGATAAATAAAGCGTAAATTGGTTGGATAATCAATAAAAATCGTTTTTATAATAATCTTAATATTACAATATAATCATAGAATTTTTCACATCATAAATAATAATTTTAACGATACTACACATACTGCAGTAGCAATTTGGTAATCGATTTAAATTACAATTGCATATTGTTAATGTAAATTTGATGAACAAATAGCATAATTGGAATTGGAAGAGAAGTGCATACTAAAATATGCAAACATGAACTAAACTATGCTTAATCTCTTTTCGAGCTAAAATGAAATGATTAAAAAAATAAAATAAATATAAGTGGTTTATATTACTAAAACGAAATTCATATTGCCTTATTGTTAAATTAAGAAGGAGAATGCATCTTTATTTTGTTCCTGACGATGATTTTGATTACTTTTTAGTTATTATTCTAGCATCCCACAGTAAGTTTTATCATCAGTTCAAGTACAAAAAGACAATCATTTTTGTGATGATAACAATTATTAAGTTTTCAATAATTAGAATTTTGCATATTCAAGTAAAATTTATATCTTCCATTTTTAAACCCAAAACATAATTTCTTAAATAATTTTTAAAGAAAACTTAAATTATATAGCTTACAAGGTAGAGAGACAAATGTATTCTTAATGTAAAAATGTGAATCAGCTATTGGAGTAATTTTTATTTAAGAATCATAACTATAGAGATTGAAATAATTTTCATAGTCTTGATTATACCAAGACGGCAAAATTAAAATTCCAAAATATTAAAAAGCAATTACTGTAAATTAAGACCTTGAGTAAGGAAAATTTGATCCCCTCTATTTATTCAGTAATTTAAAAGTATAAGAACCATTTAATTGAGTTTTTTGTCATAATTTATAATTGAGATAATATTTTTATTTTCCTTCAAAATGTCAAAATATATAGTAAATTTAATCAAAATAGAATTGCTAGGCTAAGATATTACAATAAAACAATAAAAACAATCTAAGTTGTTCATTTATTTTCTTAATAGAGGATCGTCAATATTTTAATATTCTGGACTTATAAAAATAATTCCAAAAACATAAATATTGCCCATCGCTTTATTACGAAAACATGCAAAATAGCAAAACTTTTATTTTTTCATTTTAATATCTAAAAAGCCGAAGTTAATTCCTACTACAATTATACCCTTGTTATTCTATGCATGTTAATTTTCCAGAAAAATGCATTTTTGATTATTAATGTTTTTGATGGTGCATTAACATCAACTTCTATTTCATTGGAGATCTAAAATTTTCTATGTTCTAAATAAACTATTATTTATTACAATCTCTTAAAGGCTGATATTAAGCCTTCTAGAAACTTTCTATAAAAAAAATAATATTAATAATACTGTTTTTACCACATGTTAAATTGAATGCGAATAAATATAATATCATTCAATATTTTGAAAATTTTATTATTAAATTAGGATAAATATTTGATTAATTCTCTTCATTTCAGACACAAGAATTCGAGTCTATACTAAACAACATTTATGAACAAAAGCGAAAGAAGTAAGAGTAAATAAGTTAACAAAATACACCAACGACAATATTTTCATAAATCTAGTGGCTTAAAAGTAAAAGGTTTTATATCAAGATTATGAACTGCATCTTCAAAACGAGGATTGAAAAAAGCTACCAAACATTCGACAGCATCCTTATAGTAAAAAGTTATGTTATTAAAAATATGGATTAATTTACAAATAAAATAAAACCTAAATTTACACAATTTAAGATATCTTATAATTGTTATAAAGAATGAGATTGGATTAAGGATAAAAAGTTGATGTAGCCTGATAGGTTCTTTGAAAACTCTTCATTATTCAATAGCAAAGTATAAAATTCAAAATTAAGCTTAAAATATTAAATGAAAATAAATTTAATTATCCCTCTTTGTAGAATTTGAATTAAATCTTTAGAATGAAGATCATGACAATATTTTTAAACTTAAGTTCTTTGTCGTTTTGAAACTTTCTTTTACCAGGCATTTCCACATTTAATGAGGGTAAATCTAATACAGAACAAATTTTTCAAAGTATTTATTTCATATTTTGCTGAATTTTTGGTTTCTAGATAATCAGATAAAATACAACATTAATTTCAAAATTTCCAAACAAAATTTTTAAGTCATTTGGATTCTATCATTAATTAAAAAAAATGGGGTAGATTTTTTATAGTCCTAACATATTTTAGTAGATTTTAAATCTAATACAGTCATTATTATTTATATCATCTCATTTCCTTACATTTATCGAGATTATCAAGGAATAATTTTCTTTTATCCTATCAAAACTGATAAGAAAAACTAATTATGAGTGAATCCGTTACTGAAACTCAAATAAATTATCAACAAATAATTAATAGACATTTTTAAGATTAATGCAATTTTATTAATATTTCTCCTTTCCTAAATAGTATTAAAAAAATATATTAAAGATAAAATTCATACATGTTTACTTAATTATCTCTTGCTTAAAATATCGACAATTCAAATTTAGAAATTAGACATTTAATTATCATTTATTCAGAGATTATAAAAAGATAATAATAATATAGATTTCAAAACTAATGAATAACTTAATAATAAGAACTTCTTTATAATTTGAATCGTTTCTCTAAGATTTAAATTAGGCCTTCACTCATAGCCTAATTTAATACTAAAATATTTGATAACTAATTGTTAATAAAAATAGTTCATTAAGATCAGGAGCTCAAAAGTTGAATTATAATTAAAAAAAAGAAAAAGTGAATTAATTTTTTATGTATTCAATCATGCATCTCATAATCAAATTCGGTAGGTTTGAAAATTAATATTGGATGATATATCCTTTCCAATAATTAATTTCTTTGAGTCGAAAACTAAGTATTTATACAAGAGTTTCATACCCTTAATTAGATCTATATAATTTATATAATATTGCTTTTTAAAATCGAATCTAATTATTTACTTATTTAAATAATGAATTCTCCCAAAATAAATAAGAATGTATAAATAACATTGAAAACAAGAAATATTTTGAATGGCTCTTTGAAAATAATAAATCTTAACTTTTCCTTTCAGAGAAGAAAAAAATAACTGAAACAACCGGTTAATATTAGTTTAAATATAAAAAGTAAAATTTAGCAATCAACTTTCAATACATGATTAAGAATCATTGTTGGATCATGATAATTTTGAAATTCCTCATTAGAATTGGAAGTTTTTGAGTGAAACATCACTATAAAGCGCATATTCAATAATTGATGAAGGAAATTAGATAGAAGTTTACTGTAATACAAAAGGGTGCTTTTAATATATTACATTAGAGACTAAGTAATATTTTTTGGAAGATATTAACATTTAAATAAAGATGGCTTATGGTAAACTTAATATTGTTTGAAATAATAACAAGAGTTTTTACCGATGTATAAGATTTTCTACCTAAAATAGAGGAGGTGGATTATATAAAAATAGTGTTAAAATTGATAAATGGGTTGAACTACATAAAAGTTTTGAAAGAGTAATCCAAATAGTTTTAATTCGATTAGGATTAATTTATTATATTTTCAGGCTTTTATGAAAATGGTATAAGGATTGGTTTTTGGAAAATTTTGGTTCTTGAAAATCAAGTATAGCAAATGTAAGCATTTAATTTTTTATCAATTTAACAGCGGAGGAGGTTATTTTGACCATTAAAACGGGTTGAAAAATGGAATGTGGACTGAATTGCATGTCAATTATGATAAGTAAATTTTCAGAAGTATATAGGGAATGTCAGGTTATTACTACTGGAGAATATAAGGACGGTATTAAGTAGGGATATTGGAAAATTAAATAAAAAACAAAATTTTATAATAAATTTTATGTTATGTAAATGTAAATATTAATTAATTAGAGGAGGAGGAAATTTTAATAATCAAGGTTAAAAATAAGGGAAGTGGATTGATTTACATTAGGAATTCGATAGGTTTTTTTTTTTTTAATTTTAGTCTATGTTAAGTAACGTATTAAGGAGATTATGTTAATGGTATTAAATTTGGTCTCTGGGAGGCTTATAATAAAAATTAGATAATGTATTTGAAACTATTATTTCAAAGAGCTTAAGGAGTTTATGGATAAGTTGGAGAGAAAATTGGAAAGTGGACAGAATTAATTGATAATTATTACGAGTAAATTTATTTTAAATAATTCAGACTAAATTAAGTTTTTTAAATAGGAATTTATGAAAAAGGAAAAAAATCTAAACAATGGAAAATCGTAATGTAGGAAAATTATAGCAAAAACATCATAAACATGTAATTCAAATGTATTTTAACAAAAATAGTGGGGGAGGAACATATGATATAGATGGTGAGAAAATTGGATTTTGGGTCGAGCCTCATTTAAATTTTTATGAGTAATCATGATGTTTATATCCACAGAGATTGTTAAATTATAATGACAGGTGATTATTATCTTGGTCAAAGAATAGGAAACTGGGAAATTTATTTGAGAAGATACAAATAAGAATAATATAAATCCATGTATCCCTATAATAAAACTATGTTTTTAGAGGAGAATAAAATTACAATTAGTCAGGTGTTAAAATTGGAAGGTGGGATGAATTAGAAGGATACTATGACTTGTATCAATGCAAAAATTATTTTAGAAATCACTAGCTAATTAACTCTGGTATTTATGAAAATGGGAAAAAACATGGGAGATGGGACATAAAATATCGAAAGTGCCAAGAAGAATTTGCAATTATGTATTAGTTTTCATTAATTAGTGGGGGGGGTTGTTTTGAATATAATGAAAAAATTGGAATGTGGTTGGAACCTATAGAATATTTTAATTAGTAAATTTTATTTATTTATTTAGAAATAAATTAATATTATTTGAAGGATGCTATTAAAAAAATAAAATGTATGGTTGGTGGAATATGTATCGAAAAAAAAGTTATGGAAATGAATTAATGTAAATAATATAACTGCTATTTTAATAAAAATCAGAGGAGGAGGATATTATGAAGATTAGTACGGAACAAAAAATGGGGTGTGGAATGAAATTGAAGAAATTTCAGAATTCCCAAAAGAACTTTCGGTTATCTTCAGGTAATATTTAAATGGCATGAAATTATATCCAATTACAAAATAGTTTATAATTTGATTACAAAATTAAACCTAATTTAAAATATGATATACAATTTAAATATATGATAAAATATAAGAAGTTAATGCTATTTTTAACAATAGTTTATTATGGTTAATGTAATAAGAACATTCAAATCTTATAGATTAATCACTAAATATTTAATTAATTTATTAAATCAATACTAAACGTATCAACAACAACCATCTGTAACATACTGAGTTTTACACAAATCTTTAAGAATGAATTACGATTAAATTCCAATTTTCTTAAAAATTCTTTTGTTATTATTATAATTACAAATTAGAGATAAATTTTCTATAAAAATAACTATGAATAATTAAAAACAATCAATGCTATAGAATGATAAATGCCTTAAAGGTTTTGATTAGAATATAAAGTCCTATAATTTGCATAATTAATACCCTGTACACAAAAATTTATGGTGCAAGACTTTTGCATTTATTAAGGATGACTCAATTTTAGTAATTGGTTTTAATAATATGATAAAAGAATATCAGATAAAGAATGGAAATATGAAATAGTTTTAAGTTTTACTAGGGCATAGGTTTGATGTTAATTGTTTAAAATGGGCAAATTTTTAGAATTAGCTTATCTCAGGAGGGCATGATGGGAAAATTTTTTGTTGGCCAAAAAATCTTTCGAGCAATTCAAAATTTATCGCAAAATGTAATTTTCATTCACTTTCCATTACTCACTTTCTAATGAATTCGAAAGAGGATCTCTTGATAACAGCCAGCATGGACTAAACAATTAAATTTTCAGAAAAAAATAAATAGAATTAGATTTGGGAATGTTCCTAAGTTATAACAGAGTATAGAGATACTATATTTAGTTTAAGCTTAAGTTAAAATGAGAATAAATTAATCTCTTGTGGATATGATAATTTAATTTTAGTTTTACAAAAAGATTAATAGTTTAATAGAAACAATTGGATTGTTAAATAAAGGATTATTTTGGACCTTCATGGATATAGATTAAGTTTCATAAAGGATGATTTATTTTTATTTTAACCTTATAATAAGGAAGAAATATGGATTTATGAAATTTCAAATGATCTATTTATAAAGGCAAAAACTATTCATTCAAAAAGTGACTGTTTAGATTTTGGAACCTTATTTCCTCACCAATACATTTAATCTAAAAACATCATCTTAGCTAAAAATGGTAACTACATTCATTTGATTAAATTTGATATTCAAGATAATTTAGAGGTCTTTTAATCAATAAATTTTGGAGATTAATGTATTTATGGGTAATTAAGCAATGATGGGTAGTGTTTGATAACTTGGGACAATAAGTCCAACTTGATTTAATTTAGGGTATGTGAGAAAAAATGAATAATTGTTTTATAATGTTGTTAATCATTGAGTTAAAATTATAAAATTTAAATTTAGAGCATTATTCTGAAAAGTGAAAATGAAAAGGTATTATAATATACACTTTTGGATCTAATCATTATNCGATTAAATTCCAATTTTCTTAAAAATTCTTTTGTTATTATTATAATTACAAATTAGAGATAAATTTTCTATAAAAATAACTATGAATAATTAAAAACAATCAATGCTATAGAATGATAAATGCCTTAAAGGTTTTGATTAGAATATAAAGTCCTATAATTTGCATAATTAATACCCTGTACACAAAAATTTATGGTGCAAGACTTTTGCATTTATTAAGGATGACTCAATTTTAGTAATTGGTTTTAATAATATGATAAAAGAATATCAGATAAAGAATGGAAATATGAAATAGTTTTAAGTTTTACTAGGGCATAGGTTTGATGTTAATTGTTTAAAATGGGCAAATTTTTAGAATTAGCTTATCTCAGGAGGGCATGATGGGAAAATTTTTTGTTGGCCAAAAAATCTTTCGAGCAATTCAAAATTTATCGCAAAATGTAATTTTCATTCACTTTCCATTACTCACTTTCTAATGAATTCGAAAGAGGATCTCTTGATAACAGCCAGCATGGACTAAACAATTAAATTTTCAGAAAAAAATAAATAGAATTAGATTTGGGAATGTTCCTAAGTTATAACAGAGTATAGAGATACTATATTTAGTTTAAGCTTAAGTTAAAATGAGAATAAATTAATCTCTTGTGGATATGATAATTTAATTTTAGTTTTACAAAAAGATTAATAGTTTAATAGAAACAATTGGATTGTTAAATAAAGGATTATTTTGGACCTTCATGGATATAGATTAAGTTTCATAAAGGATGATTTATTTTTATTTTAACCTTATAATAAGGAAGAAATATGGATTTATGAAATTTCAAATGATCTATTTATAAAGGCAAAAACTATTCATTCAAAAAGTGACTGTTTAGATTTTGGAACCTTATTTCCTCACCAATACATTTAATCTAAAAACATCATCTTAGCTAAAAATGGTAACTACATTCATTTGATTAAATTTGATATTCAAGATAATTTAGAGGTCTTTTAATCAATAAATTTTGGAGATTAATGTATTTATGGGTAATTAAGCAATGATGGGTAGTGTTTGATAACTTGGGACAATAAGTCCAACTTGATTTAATTTAGGGTATGTGAGAAAAAATGAATAATTGTTTTATAATGTTGTTAATCATTGAGTTAAAATTATAAAATTTAAATTTAGAGCATTATTCTGAAAAGTGAAAATGAAAAGGTATTATAATATACACTTTTGGATCTAATCATTATACCTAATTTAGTGACTGGATTAAATCTGGCAATCTAATATTGTTATTTTCTAAGTTCATTTGAAGTTTAATAAAAATATTTATAATTAGCATACATTTTCTTTATTCATATTTATATTCTTCATTCAAACAAAAGTAATTCGTTTATAAATTTATCAAAAATATATATATTAATTTTAACCCATATTAACTTAGCGAAATTAATTTGATTTTTATCATTTATTTTAATTTTTATAAAAAAACCTGATTGAACAAATAGTATCAATATCAATTTTTGCTTTGCTTTAGAGTATTTTTATTCAATTATTCCATTTAAAATCAAATTACCATCAGAAAAACCAATATTACTGATTTAAAAAGGATTATAGTTTATAAAATATCAAATATTTTTTATTGTTTTTTTGAAGTGGTTTGATAAATAGTTGGAAAATGAGAGATCAATTAGGTTCTTATAAATTCAAAATATTGTTATTGTGCAATGAACCTTCTAATATTTTATTTTCACATGTATACTTTAACAATCTTTTTGGTGTGAATTTCTGGTAGATTGCAAAATTTTTTTCTTTTTAAATCAGCCAATTAAGATTGATATTAGTTTTTTAATTTTAAGATATTCACTATTTAATATAATATCCATAAATTCATAAAACAATGTGATTTAAGCATTGACTCATTTTTTACCCTTTTAGATTCAATAAATTAGATTTTTTTTTTTTTAATTTCTAAGGTTTCATTGGTTTAAGGCTTGAAGAAATTACATTAGGGATGTTTGGAGTTATGTACTAAATAAATACAAAAAATACATCTATTATTAGCGTGCGCTTTTACCTTTCAAATTCAGTAAAAGTCTCCTAATTTAATCAGAAGATCTTCACGTTATCTTAATACATTATCATACAACTCCACATAAAAAGTTGTAAAAGTTCATCTTAAAATGGAGTTTTTAGAAAACTTAAAATCTGAAAATATTATTTGCTGAAGTGCTATAATATAATTCATCATTCTATAAATCAAAATTGGAAAATAATAAGGTGTTAATGTTACTCAAAATAAATTGAATTCAAATGAAACAATGTGATTTAAATATACAGAATTGCAAGCCTAGCAAAACGATAATTCACAAATTTAGAGACTGGCAGGATGGCAAAAAAACATAAAATATGAATAAAATTTTTTTAATAAATTATTTTTAATTAAAAATACAAATCCCTTCAAGTTATTTATTCATTCTTTAATAGATATATATGTTTTATATAAAAGAATGAAATTCCTCAATAAGTACCACATCATAAAACAATGAATGGAAGAGAATTCAAATTTGAAAATCAAATTTTAGAAAGCGAAATATTATTTTTTTCAAAACAATTTTAAATTTTTATGATAAGAATTTAACAATTTTATTTATCATCTTTTTGAAATATACTTAGAAATTTTTTTACATCCTTCCTTTTATTTTGATTTTCTTGATCTAATTTATGGCTTTTAAGTTAGCTTCTAATGTTCTAAAACATAATCTATTTTTTAATTTAAAAATGTACCTATATGATTTTGGTATTCCTCATTATAAGGCTTTAAACTTAAAGCTTTCTTAAAAAAATCTAATGATTTATTAAATCCGTTTAGATGTTGTAATACAACCCCTAAATTTGTGAATTTTATTTATACCAATTTCGAAATAGGCCTCATCGTTAGAAGGATTTTACTAAACAACGTTTTCAAAACATTTTAATGATTCCTCATACTGATTTATGCGATATAACGATTTACCTAACATTTAAAATAAATTCATAACCTTTTCCAAAAATTAACTTCTCTAATAAATCTTATCCTGGATTCAAAGCGATTGCTTTTTTGTAACATGCAATTGACTTTTCATAACTTCTCAAACAAAATAAGTTATTTCCTGGAGTATTATTAGAAGTTACCTTTTTTCAGGTAAAATAATGGACTATCAGGATTAATTTCAAGTGCTCTCTCCAGATGTTGATTTGCCTAATCATAGATTTCAGCTTTATTTAAAGCACATCCTATGTATTTAATATTGATGTACCCAAATGATAATGAGCTTCAGAACTTTTTGGGTTGATATTGATTGCTTTTTAAAATGAATTGATTGCCTCATTATTATTACCAATTTCTGATAATGCAATGCCTACTATATTTATTTTCAAAAACCTTTTAAAGTATATGCTGAATCTTATATCGGGTCAATATCAATTGCTTTTTACGCACATGAAAGAGCTTAGTCAAAATCCAATAAATAAAATAATGCATTTCCTAAAGTAGAGATTGTCTATACCTTTTTCAATATAGGCTTAAAAATTATGACAATTAATTTTAATCAATTTATCGAATTATTATATTGCTTCTTGAAATTGATTTTAATCCCTAAATAATTTAGTTTAATTTTATACATGAAGTCAAGCCCCTTTTTTAATATTTTAGCTGATAATTTTGCTTTCTCTTTTAAACTTTTCCCTTAGTAATTTATCTTTTCTAAAATCTCACCTAATATATTATAAATTAATAACTTTTTAATTAAAGTGAATCCTCATCTTAAGGGTCAATTGCTAAGGCTATATTAATATTGACTAAAGCTTTCTCTAAAAAATTTAATTTTTCTAGTGAAACACCTGATTATGTTATGAATTCAATACTTTTTAAATAATAAGCATAACTCTAATTTGGATCTATGGATATTGCTATATTGAAATGTCCTATTGCACCTTTATGGTCATCGTATTCTTGTATTTCCAATCCTATTTTAATTATACATTTGCTAACCAAAGTCACAAATATTATCATAACCATCACCTGAGTCCAGAAAGGATACTTCATAGTTTTCTATTTCACTTTAATCCTCTTCACTCTTACACTCTAATATCAGAATTATTTAAAATTACGGTTATTGTCTCCTAATGGTTAAGATGCCTTTTGTATTTGTTATTTCTTGATATTTTAAGTTTTCTTTTTCTTATTTATTTTCTTGCCTTTTTTAACCTATCTCATTGATCTTATGAATATAAATAAAGACAGATTTCCATAAAAGTATTTAATTATTCCATAATTTATGTTTAATTTCTGACAATAAGACAATACGAAAATATGATTACTTATGATCATAGTATATGACTCAGAATTTGTAATCTGAAATTAAAGCTACAATAGTTAAGAGAAACATTTATAGTATTGATAAATAAAGGTGAATGAATCGAATATTATTATTATAATTATGTGGTCAAAAAAATACTTGCATATAGAAAGTTTAAACTTAAACATTAATTTTGAGAAGTTTTAAAAATATCTGCAATTTTATTATGTTAACTAATCCCTTTAAATCTTAGAATAAGCTATGATTCACCATGAAAAATTATTATTTGTTAGAAATCAAACTTGATTAATAAGGATAAAAATCACAAAGTTTTATTATAATTTGCACATTAAATCAAAAGAAAATATCGTTGTTTAACATTTCATTGTAAATCCTTAAAGATATAATAGAAATGGGCCTGTGATTGAAAATAACAAATCTATCGTAAACTCAATAGGATAGTACATTTTTAAATATTCTATTGGATAACTGAGTTTCTTCTCTTGAGTGGAAGAAAATTATGGCCCTATTTTTAATACATAAAATTTATAAGATCAATTTTCTGACAACTTAATAGTTCTGTTCTATTATGTTATGACATTGGATATAAAATTCCAAAAAGTATGCTTTATAATTACATGTCAAGTCCATGAATTTAACAAAAATGATATTACTTCTTAGACCAAATATATTAAAATGACATCTATTTATTTCCCTCATAAAATAATAAACAATCTTAAGTTATTTATTTCCTTTCTTAATTTATATTTATTAATTTTGGTTTCATAAATTATGTGTTCTGTTTACTTAGATTGAGCAATATCAACTTATGCGATTTAAAAGAGTTATGTCAATTTATATCATCTTTTCATCATTGTAAATTATGATTTTCAGTTTCATAACAACAATCTTGAAACCCATGCCATTCGGAAATGGATCAAGATAATTGAAGTTTAATATAAAATTTTCTCAAAACGAATCATCATATTTAATCAATCATTTTTTCTAAAAATGGTTTGACCAAGTAGGTTTATAACATTTGAAATGATACAAAATGAAATTCATTTTGAAAAATTTAAACTAAGAGTTATTTAAAATTAATAAACATAAAAATGGATTAAATTTTGGTGAATTTGTTTTACTGTTCAAACCCACACAATGTTATTATATTTTTAAATCTGATTTTTTTTTAATAATCTGAAATAAGACTTGCATTATAGCATTAAATAATTACACTCCAATATGTTTCTTTGTAACATTAATTTTTAAAAAATGATGTGATATTATAATGACTTTTTTTAATTTCAAAGTATTCTATAATAAATAATGACATTAATGAAACAATTTTTTGAAGAGTTTATACTTAAATAAAGTTGAAAATTGTATAGAAACATTTGATAATATAATTATTTCAATCAATAGAATCTCAGACTGGTTACTCATATTTAGGGAACTTTTAGAATAAGCAATATAAAATACATGAAAGCCAATTAAGCAAGTTTAATCGGAGGTATACATTTAGAGTACTCCTCCGTAGTAATTCGGATCTTTTATTTAAACCACTAGCCCTTCTATGATTTTTATCGATTTTATTGGGAAAGGAAGTTATCTACTTGCGCTAGTTTGGTTCCCTGAACAAATAATCCATTTTTATCCTTGAAAATTACATTCACTAAAAAAGGTCACACAAGGATCCAACAACTGTATAATCACATTTCGTATACCCCATGATTCTATTATGTTAGAAATAGATACCATCATATATAGGGTCATTCAAATTACTTTATAATGATAGTAGGAAGCTTTCCTTTCCTAAAGGCAATTAAAATTCATAAGATATCTATTCAACCACATCCAACCAAGAATTGAAGCAAAGATTGCTTCCTTGAGATAAAATAACACGATTTGTTACAACATATGTGTTATCTAAAGCGATCAATAAATATTCTCCTGCATCCCAAGAATCAAATCTACCAAGTGTGAATGAAAATTTGATTATCCTTCCTTCATTATTATTAGTAAATAATTTGGAAATTTTTGTGCTCTGACCAAATCGACCAATATATAATTTATCCCCGCACCACTCTACTTAATAGATCCAATTGTTATTGTAACAACTAACATCATCAGGTTAGATACAACTTTTGTAAATCAATATTGGGTGTAAAAACAAAATTTTAAGCAAAGAAATTTTTGCCATTAATATTATGAATATATATGTTTCCAATGAAAACTTGAATTTTAGATTTGAATTTACAGTAAATTTTAAAATTTCCTCAAGTTAACACCATAAGTAAAGGACTGCCTTGTTAAAGAGCCTTAAAATATTTATAAATTAAACATAGAACTTCAATAAAGTCTTCATAATGAATGCATAAATATCTTCATAATTGTTATAATCGTCATCAACTATATTTTTCTGTAAAACCATAATCTGATTGATGCAAATCCTACCAAGCTAATACTTTTTCCTGAATATTTTATAATTGATAATTCATTTGATTCTTATTGATTAACATTTTTCCTCAATTTTGTCAAATTTTCTGTTATTCTTGATTAAAATTATAACTGTGTTCATTCCATAACCTTAATCAATGTGTGTAACGAATCTTTATTAACTTTCAACCAGCCTTGAGTTGATCTATTTATAAAAAAATTCAAGATAATTAGCTAAATTTGATTCACTAATTACTAAAAATCTGATATCAAATGGTATTAGCAGCCGTTTTGTGGTTCATGTTATTTCTTTTAGAAACAGATGAGATCTAGTAATCACTTTAAATCCTATAGCTTAATATATAGATGTATAGACTAATTGAGAATGAATTATTGAATGATCTTATTTTATTATTATTTTTTTATTATTATTATTAATAGTAATATTATAATATCTAACGGATATCAATATGATTCCCGATTTCAATAATTATAGCCAGACTAATTGTATGATCTCACGTTTATTGAAAAATTCAAACAGTAGGGACAATATGATATAGAACATTAGGGAAAAGTTTAGGAGAGAAATTCGAAACGATTAGTTGAAAAACATATTCTCAATATAAAGAGATTAAAAATGAATGGGATTGGTTTATAACATATATTAAGTTGTTTAATTTTCTCCTATAGATTCTATGATTCAATTTGTTTAAAAAGATAAGTTGAATGGAATCAGTTAGTTTGAATACACTTAAAGAATTAGAAGAAAATGAAAAATGAATACGAAATTTTGTTGCTATGTTAACTTAAACCTTTTTAAGAATATTAAATATGAAAAAGAAAAATCTTTATTTATGGTAATCAATACAAAAATCGGCTTAATATGTATTAAATGAATTCACTCATTTAAATTACAAATACCCATTTTTTATAAAGAAATTAATATTTGGATAATTTAAAAAAAAATAGAAATAGTAAAACGATAGAAAAGCTCAAAACATTAATTAAGATGGGGATAAAAAGGGCAGCCAAAATTTGGCTAATATTGAAGATAGGGAAGAGGAGTAATATATATAGGAAGATTTAATAGAAGGTAGTAAAAAGCAAATGTGTGTGGTATACTCATAAGTTTTAAAAAATGAGAAAGGTTTAAATAACAAATAACAAAGATGCATTAAAAAGAGTTTAAAAAAATAAATATGATATGTAATAGATTTGAGGTTTCCTATATGTATTCCATAGTAATTTTGGTTCCTAGACTAAAGTCTTAAGATATTTTGTTTATTTAAAATTCCAAATAATTTGTTTTTGATTTAATTGGATTAACATGATTATTTATATTCCCCCCTTCCATCGATACCTACTCCCAGGTACTTATAATTCTTTTGAAAAGAAATACCAAATAAATTTTTTTTTAATTCTTAAAGTTCTAATATAGTTAATCCTCTGGTTATTCTAATTATGGCACATTTTGATTTATTTATTTGAAGATTTAGATTCTAAGAGGCTTTATTAAGACATTCTAATGTGGTATCAAGATATTTCGCCTTGCATCTAAAAGCTAAATCATCTGCGTATAAGTAGTAAATGGTCAATTTTGGTGAAATCACATATTTGTTTCATTTCTTTTATCAAGATGTGTGAGTATATATCAAAAAGAAATGGAGATAAAACACTTCCTTATGTACTCCATTTAAAAAAGCTATCTTGAATTTTTACTTTTGATATATTGCCAACTCGTAAGGCTTTGAAGGAAATTTAATTCATCTTCATCTAGTACTGCCATTTCTTTGAGAAATTTAAATAATTCATCTATTTATGCACAGTTATATGCTGAACGGAAGTCTATAAATATAACGACTCTGTTATCTTTTTTATATGTCTGTAATCAGTTTTAATTCTGTGTGTTCCAGCTCCTTGTATAAAACCAAATTATTCTCTTATAATATTTTTTTCAAAGTTTTAGTGTTTTATGGTTTCAAAGGTAGAGACGCTTAAAATTGAANGATTCTATGATTCAATTTGTTTAAAAAGATAAGTTGAATGGAATCAGTTAGTTTGAATACACTTAAAGAATTAGAAGAAAATGAAAAATGAATACGAAATTTTGTTGCTATGTTAACTTAAACCTTTTTAAGAATATTAAATATGAAAAAGAAAAATCTTTATTTATGGTAATCAATACAAAAATCGGCTTAATATGTATTAAATGAATTCACTCATTTAAATTACAAATACCCATTTTTTATAAAGAAATTAATATTTGGATAATTTAAAAAAAAATAGAAATAGTAAAACGATAGAAAAGCTCAAAACATTAATTAAGATGGGGATAAAAAGGGCAGCCAAAATTTGGCTAATATTGAAGATAGGGAAGAGGAGTAATATATATAGGAAGATTTAATAGAAGGTAGTAAAAAGCAAATGTGTGTGGTATACTCATAAGTTTTAAAAAATGAGAAAGGTTTAAATAACAAATAACAAAGATGCATTAAAAAGAGTTTAAAAAAATAAATATGATATGTAATAGATTTGAGGTTTCCTATATGTATTCCATAGTAATTTTGGTTCCTAGACTAAAGTCTTAAGATATTTTGTTTATTTAAAATTCCAAATAATTTGTTTTTGATTTAATTGGATTAACATGATTATTTATATTCCCCCCTTCCATCGATACCTACTCCCAGGTACTTATAATTCTTTTGAAAAGAAATACCAAATAAATTTTTTTTTAATTCTTAAAGTTCTAATATAGTTAATCCTCTGGTTATTCTAATTATGGCACATTTTGATTTATTTATTTGAAGATTTAGATTCTAAGAGGCTTTATTAAGACATTCTAATGTGGTATCAAGATATTTCGCCTTGCATCTAAAAGCTAAATCATCTGCGTATAAGTAGTAAATGGTCAATTTTGGTGAAATCACATATTTGTTTCATTTCTTTTATCAAGATGTGTGAGTATATATCAAAAAGAAATGGAGATAAAACACTTCCTTATGTACTCCATTTAAAAAAGCTATCTTGAATTTTTACTTTTGATATATTGCCAACTCGTAAGGCTTTGAAGGAAATTTAATTCATCTTCATCTAGTACTGCCATTTCTTTGAGAAATTTAAATAATTCATCTATTTATGCACAGTTATATGCTGAACGGAAGTCTATAAATATAACGACTCTGTTATCTTTTTTATATGTCTGTAATCAGTTTTAATTCTGTGTGTTCCAGCTCCTTGTATAAAACCAAATTATTCTCTTATAATATTTTTTTCAAAGTTTTAGTGTTTTATGGTTTCAAAGGTAGAGACGCTTAAAATTGAATTTTGATAATGTTATTTAATATACAAGCGTTAATTAGAAAAAGATATATAATTTTGCTTTTTAATAAGACTAAATCAATAGAATAGTTATGATTTTCTGCTAACTTTTCTATTTTATATTATATAAATTTAGCAAATAAGATTGAGTATATTAACTAAATATAATGAGTCATATTTTATATAATTTTAAATTAGACAAATTGAAATCAGCAGAGACATGATATTTTTCTTGTCTTAAATTAGAAATGTATATTAATATGGTAGGTTTGATTTCAAAATTTCATCAATAATTATTACACATAGGATTTTGGGGTAATAATTGTTAGAATTCATAATTGATGGCTTGATGTTACATTTTTGGACTTATTTTAAAAATAAGTAGAGATTACTTAAAATCTCAAACTAATGGCTAGTAATCATCCTAATATTAGTAACTTTGTACTATCCATCAAAAT